CCTTCATTTTTTTCCCGCAAGCCTGGAATGCCTTCATAATACCTTTTCCCATGGTTTGTCCACGTCTTTTCTTAATGGTGGTATTGGAAGCTGCATATTCACCACTCAATTATTTTAATTAGTCAAAAGCATCATACTCATAAAATATAAAAAAAAATTAAAAATATAATCGAATGTCCGATCTCTTAGCCACAAATAGGCAGCACAACAAAACTGATTGAACTAATAAATGATAAACAATGTATAGTGTTAATGAATCATGCTCTATTAGAATTTTTCAAATAAAGAAAAACACAAGAAAAAAAGATATATACAAAAAAGTTAATTTTTCTATCAAGATAATGAATGTAAAAAAATGGTTGGAAGGCTTGGATAGGTAACATATTTTGATATCAAGCACATAGGCTTGGATAGGTCGATGAGGTTCGACTTCCTCAGAAACCTATATATTAGGGTTTAATTATTATTATTGGTTTTGATGGTTGATTAACAAGCAGATAGAACCCACAAGGCAACAATTTAAGGCACATTAGCACAAACAAGGCAAACAACTCTCTTTAAACTACAACAAAATTTCAAGGCCTTATGAACTGAGCATGAATCTCTGAAATATTACATATTTTCAGCATGGAAAACTCGGCAATAAAGGTTTAGCAAGACGAAATAATAATCATGACATAACACACATATTATGTCTCGGTTTTCTTAACACTTACACGGCTAAAGAAAAATAACACCAAAAATAAAATGCCTCAACAACACAACCTGTTTCTCATGCTTGCTCAACAAAAATCATGGGCAATAATAACTGAGATTAAAGTTCTATAATTTTTGCTCAATTCAACATATCCAATAATTCAGTACAGCTCATTTGACATGAAAACACATGGTTCAAAAATTCTTCAACCTAAAAGCATGCACACACATATATAAATGAACTTTCTTTTTCTCAATCAGCTACTTATATGCCAAGGGCTTTATATCTGATATTAAAGGCACTAAAGATACTTCAATTTCAGCATGAAATAACCTCATAATGTTTACAATAACAATCACGTAATCAGTTCGACTAACGAGCATGTAAAGCAAGTCTCATTTCTTCTTCTTTTTCCAGAAACTCCTCTCACATGCTTAAAGGCCTTGAAAGTTGGAATTAAAGCTCTAAGAATACATTACTTTCAGCAAGTTAAACATAGCACAAAGTACTCAACAAAGAGACAAACAACACAAAGAAATGCACTTCAATTTCTATCATCATTTTTTTTTTTTTCGAAAATAAACACAACTCACTTAGGGCCATTAAAGCTGAATTCATCTCTGAAAATGGAGCGAAATACAACATGATAAACATCCAAGAATTCACATGTCAAGCTCAGCAAATAAAGACAACATACGATTAAAAAAAAAGAAGCAAAATCAACATAAATTCTACAAGTGTCAGAACTACGAACAGAAAAACCAATCCTAATGCTACAGGCTTCTACAAGTACACGCAAAATCAACATAAATTCTAACACACCCACATCGATATTGTGAAGTAAAAGTCTTAATATCACACATTTAGAAAAAGCAATCAAGTTACCTAAACATGTAACTATACATATACACATCCACATCAATATTGTGATATCAATTCAAAAAGAAACATATTGTACTGCCTATCAATTCTTGAGCTAATACTTAGAAGAATAGTGAAATAAAAAGATCATAGGGAAGAAGAAATTGATATATAATACAAAAAAAAAAACATAAAAGTCTAATCACAGTAAATTAAACAACACAACACAGTTCATGAAACAACACAACACACAGTTAATGAAACAACACAACAACACAATAAAATTTTAGAGTATTAGCTATGTACCAATTATATCTTCCTGTGATCGAGAATTTTGACTTCCCTGATGTGATGGAGGATCGGGAGTGCTTTCATTCTGCTGAGTACCTTCAGGAGTCACCGGAGTCATCTCGTTCTGTTGAGTTTGAAGAGATTGGATACTTGGAATAAAAGTACTCTCATTTTGCTGAGTTTGAGGAGATTGAACATTTGGCAGGTTGCCCTCAAACGTGGGATTAGCAGTTTCGGTTCCTATAGACGAACCATCGGTTAATGGCAATCCTTTGTTCACTTTGTCTGATCCCATATTAGTCTGATCGGATTGACGTTTATTACCCATTGCTAAATTTCCTGCCTTCTTCATGTGATCAATGAGACTCTGCCGAGTATTCGGTATGATTTTTGTTCTTGAATTCCGAACTAATCCAGGAGCCATTTGAAACCTTTTGTATCAGACAAAAAAAAAATCCATCAGAATGAAAAGTAATGCATAACTGATTGAGTGATGTAAAATAGAAACAATTTGATGTAAGGCATAACATAAAGAACCAAGATACTACGAGAGAGTCTTCTTCCAGAACAACCTGTTGCTGTATAATAGATAATGGCGGATTATCTTTGAGACTTTGATAATTGTTAGCCTAAACTTTTACTTATATGAGTGAAAGGGGGGAGAGATATTTGCTGAAGATACGGTCAAAATAATTTCAGTGTTTATCTACCTTAAATATATAAGATTACCAAAATTAAACTAACTAGTGAGCGCCAAAGCAAAAAAATTTTGTCCGCCAATGTTTTAGTAATCCAAAGTTCACCATAATACCCTTTTCAAATCTTAACACCTAAAAACCCAAAAAAACGGGCCGATTGATATGCGAAAAAAATGAAAGCCCCGCACCTGTGTTGCCCGATGACCATGGGTGTGACGATGTCTCTGGCAAGCCTCTGCACCGGCGTGACCTATGAAGCCGCGAGATTGGAATGAAGGGAAAGTGTACAATGAAGCCACTTCTCCCGAAGAAAGAAGATTTCGTCTATAAACTCGATGCCAGGGCTTATTCCGCCGACACAAGGCTTGATGTAATTAACCTCACTTACATCGACCGTCCACAATCCAATCACCGTTCGCCGCTTGATTGGGAGTAAGGAATACCCGGTTTCTGTCGGAGTAAGGAGACGGACTTGATTGGGAATTGAAGGGAGCTCACTGACCGTTTAGATTTTGTGTTTTTTGTTTTAGGAAGTATTGGGGAAGATGAAAGGGAGATGAAAAAATGAATTATGGGATATAGATTTGTGTGGACCGATTTTATTTTTTTTGGTTGGGAGATAGAATTAGTTGACTTTTTTGGTTCTTAATGGCACACTAGCAATTTTAGGTTATTAATAAGGTTAAATAAGGTATGTGGAATAATATTTATATAATAAAATTGATATATAAAAACTTTTTTATATAAATACTTTGTCAATTTAAATCATTCA